CACAAGGAAACAGAAAGCAAGGGCGATAAAGAGAAAGACTCTGACAAGAGAATTTGTTCAGTCCTTATCTGAGTGTATGTCATGTACCAGGCATGCAGAGAATCCCATCTCTCCATCACACACAGATTAATGGTAGGGTTATTGGGTTTTTTTAAAAGGGAACTTCTTTATGGGGGGAAAGTGGTTGAACAAATACTTGGACAGCTAGCGGCCTTGCTAGACTGAAATGTGTACGGTTAAGGCTCTCGTCGAATATTGAATCAGGCCCAAACTGAATATAATGAGTGATCTCCCAGCATCACTGTCTTTTGCATTACACAAAAAAAGCTTCAGGGGAATTGAGTCTGGATCAGATCCATATAATGGGCCCTGGGCAGATGGCAAATCCCAGTAACAGAGCTGCTAATACTTGAGAGGGTAAAACACATCAGTAATGTTGTTGTTGTTGTTGTTGTCGTCATACATACATACATACATACCCCACACATCTGGCTGGGTTTCCCCAGCCACCCTGGGCGGCTCCCAACAGAATATTCAAAACATGCTAAAACATCAAGCATGAAAAACTTCCCTAAACAGGGCTGCCTTCAGATGTCTTCTTAAATTCAGATAGTTGTTTATTTCCTTGACATCTGATGGGAGGGTGTTCCACAGGGAGGGCGCCACTACCAAGAAGGCCCTCTGCCTGGTTCCCTGTAGCTTCACTTCTCTCAGGGAGGGAACTGCCAGAAGGCCCTCAGAGATGGACCTCAGTATTTGTTGAGCGTTCCCTCTGTTGTCACCTGGCATGGCCAGGCAAATGCTGGGGCCCACCAAGGCTGATAGCAGTCACTAGCATCCTTTTGCTCTGTTTCCCCCTCCCACCCCTGATATTTGTACTCAGATGGTTGACAGGCACAGTGAAATAACATGCCGGCCAAGGCCACAGTGACTACTCATCTTCATTTCCCCACCATGACTGTGGTCCCCAAGTGTGTCAGATCCCAGTGGCCTTCTGGGGGAAAGAAGTTGGAGGGCAGCTGTAGCCTCAGCTGGTGTTTCCCTTTGAAATGTGCTTGCAATTTGCAATCTGATCCTGCTCCCCCATCCTCACCAGAGTGGTCTGCTGTGGGTGGGTGGGGGGCATCGGGACACAGTGGACCTCTAAGTGAAGGTGCTGGCTCTGTGTGCAGGTTGCAGGAAGACAGAGATGCCCAGAGGTTGGGGACAGGGACTGTAGACATGATCCTGCTCCCCCAGTCTTGCTTTCATATTTTCAGTAAACACGCAGACATCAGGTGAGATCGAAGCTATAGTTCATGCAGCCAGTAAATAACTTGATGCCGTGTGACTGCAGTTACAGCAAACACTTTAGTTATGTTACTAAATACAGTGGTACCTCAAGTTAAGAACTTCATTCGTTCTGGAGGTCCATTCTTAACCTGAAACTGTTCTTAACCTGAAGCACCACTTTAGCTAATGGGGTCTCCTGTTGGTGCCGCGCCGCCAAGGCATGATTTCTGTTCTCATCCTGAGGTAAAGTTCTTAACCCGAGGTACTATTTCTGGGTTAGCAGAGTCTGTAACCTGAAGTGTCTGTAACCCGAGGTACCACTGTATTAGCCTTAGAGTTGAGCGGCATCAAGGCCAGAAGGAAGGGAACTTTAATCCTACCATGGTCTCAATGAATCCAGAATTCATAGGAGGAATGCATCTAGTGGACTAACCCCATGTGCAGGATATGGGATGGTCCATATATAGCTCCAAAACAGAACAGGTGTTTTACATGCAGGTATCTTCAGTTAAAAATGAACTCTTTCAGGTAAGGGGTTTAGTAATGCCCACCCCCTCCTTCCACCTGGGGGTGTGGAAAGCTACTGCCATTCAAAAGAGAGAGGGGACTAGAAGGTTCTTTCTGATGCTGCTCAATGAATTTCTAGGTGGAATAACTCCCACGAGAAAACTGGATCTGAATATGTAAGTGCAGGTTATCTTCTTCTGCACACGAATATCAAGGAACCCAGTGATGTTGTTTTCCAAGGGCTCTGGCAGCAGCTCAAAAAGAAGAGCAAAGACAGCCAGTTCCCGTTCACAGGCAAGTCCCTACATTTCCATGGGGTGAACATTACGCTTTAAAAAGTGTGATCCTCACCCCCTCCAGGGCTATTTTGCAAATTGACGACTTCTAATAAACACGCATGCACACACACATGCTGCAGATTGCTCAAGTAGGCAAACGAAATGGCAGTGGGTTGTTGTTGTTTTATATACTGTACTTGAATGTTCAGAGCCATGGAGCAAACTGAAGCAGGGATCTAGATGAAAATTCTGCACCACTGCTGATGTGCCAAGTTGCACTCCGCTTGTATGGTGGGTGGACCAGCCCTGGGAATTGATAAACATCTTATTTTTGTTTCCTGGTGGAGGACTGTAAAAACGGAACGCGCTGTGTGCGTGACTAAGGGCTCGTCCACACCTGCATTTGCCTCATGATTTCCAGGCACAGGTCTGAGTTTTTCTTTTCTTGCACTGCCTTCCCTGGGAAAACCCTCTTTTTGCCACTGAACAGGAACAAACACCAGTTAGGCTTTCTGCAGACGGATGTTTGTTCAAATTCAGCGGTAAACGTGTCGAAGAGCCCCAAGTTTGACTTGGACATAAGGCAAGCCCTGCAGGAGCAGAACAAAGGCTTGTGGAGTCCTGCATCCTGTATCCCACAGCGGATAGCCAAGTGTCTCCGAGAAGCCACAAACAGAACATATTGATGACTCAGCAGCAACCCAATCTTTAATGGCCCTAGATATCTGGTCTGCAGCGGCCTATTGTATTGGGAAGGGCGGATAAGCTGTGGTCCTCTAGATGCTGTTGAACTCCAACTCCCATCAGTCCCAGCCAGCATGGTCAATGGTCAGGGATGGTGGGAGCAAGAGTCCAACAAGATCTGGAGGGCCACATGTTCGCCATTCCTGGATTACAGGGAGAAAACAAGAAGAGCCTGCATTGCCTGGAGATGGAGCAAGGGTTGCATGCTGAGCTTCCAAACTCCTCCCCCTCTTGACTCTATTTTGGCTTCTTTTCCCTTACACGGTTACTTGGCTTTATTATGTCGCTGCTGACTATGTTATGTGGATTGGTTATTTTCTAATGTGTCTTTTTTTTGGTTGTTAGTGGCCTTGGGCATTTTTTCTTCTTCTTCTTCTGGAAAGTTGGAATAAAAATGTAACAAATCTGTAATGAACCAATCAGAATGGTGGGAACTAGTAAGAAGGTGGAGCAAAACTGCTTACTTCATTGATTGACAGCACATTGGCATCCTTTGCAAGTCATGAAAAGGCCTGGATCAAGTTGCTTTGGGGAAAGGTTGTCGTTTCCTTTCCCCAAAGCAACTTGATCCAGCCGTTTTACAGCAGGCTTGCTGGAAATCTATGGGAAGGCTTGGGAATTTTGCTTATACAGGCTTTTCTTGACTAAATTTGAGGTTCCTTTTCAGATCCCTTCAGACTTTGTGGAGTCTACAGGACTGGGATTTCAGTTTGTCATCTACCTGTCTTGGCCTGTGTCTGCATCATCACTCTTGTTAGTTTTTAGTGTCTTGCTGGCTGAAATAATTGTGCGTTCTCCGTCCACAGGTTGTTTCCCCCCCTGGAACATTTGTACCTATTCAATAAGAAGCACAATTTTCCATGCAAAAAATATATCGTTGATGACAGTCACAGATCATGAAATGCAAGTTGGTCTGTGTTCTCCTCCTTGTAAATATTACTACAGCAAACCATGTGAAGAATGTGTGGTGTGGTCACTACCATATGTAGTATGGTGCTCAGACCAATAAATCATAGGATCATATAATTTTAGAATTGGAACTTCCAAGAGATCTTGGGGGTCATCTAGTCCAGCCCCCTAATGTAGGGTGCATCTATAGTGACCATTAGGGGTGCCGTATTTTGAAGAGCAAGAAAGAGGAAGCTATGATGGCCATTCAAAGCTAATAAATGCAATTTGTCTCAAATTTTACCCCTGCAAAAGAGGATGTGTCCTGGAAAAAAAGAGGAGCCATGGCAACCATGTCAGATGGCTATTCAGCTTCTGCTTCAATGCCTGTCCTGAAGGAAAGTGCATCACCTCCAGGGGTGGTCTGCTCCACTGTGAAACAGCTTTTAGCATTAGGAAGTTAGCGGAAATCCACTCTCTTGCCACTTCCGTCTGGTAATTCTTGTCCTGCCTGCAGAAGCAATGAGGTCTTGGCATCTTTGGCATGAGCCTAGACTTTAGATATTTGAAGAAGGCTAACACATCTCTCTTTAATCTTATCTTCTCTGCATTAAGCATGCCCAGCTGCTCCTATCAATTTCTATTAGGACTTGGATTCCAGATGCCGCGTCATCCTTGGACCTTCTCCAGTTTTTCAATGTCCTTCTTAAAATGTGATACCCAGAGCTGGACACTACACTCCCAAGGCTAGCACAAAACAGAACCAGCACTTCTCATAATTTGGTTGCTATGCTACTGTTAATACACCTAAGATTGCATTAGCATTCTTTGCAGTAGCATCACACTTCTTGCTCATTGTTCAGCTATTTATCAACTTTGATCCAAGCTTTGTAACTGGATATGTGTGAAGGAGCAGTTATTTTTACTGTTATAATATTGAAAAGGAATTCTTAAAACTCTAAATCATTATAGCTGTGTGGAACACGTTAAGCACACAGGAATAGGAAAGAAATGTTTTCCTAACCTTTTCCAAGTTTTTATAAACAGTTGTATAAAGCCACTTAATATTTATATAAATCTATAAATTATGAGTATTGTCTGTTTTATATATTTATTGTCTGGGGTTTGTGTGTGTGTGTGTGTGTGTGTGTGTGTGTGTGTAATCTCTGCCTTATACTTCTACACCACTTTTTTCTTTCATAGAATAGGTGAGAGTCATTTGGTGATAGCAGTGGGAAACTTTAATCTGCAACACAGATTCATACTCAGTATTCATAGGTAGTATATCTTGATGGACTCATTGGGAGCAGCAGATTAAGCACTAAATTGGCAACCAAAACAGCAGCCAAATTTGCTCTTTGAACAGTAGCAATTCCAGTGTTTAATTCAATTACAGGACAGTAAGAAAAATTACAAAGGCAATTACTTCAGAGATCCCCTGACATCATCATAAGCAACCTGGCACCATCATAATCAGCAATTGGACACATTTGTGCGAGGAAATATATTTTCTAGGATCACAGAAATCCTTGCAGATGTGAAACAACTAGTAGAAAGAAAACACAGCAAACAAGTTCATTCTCATGACTGAGTTATCTACACCCCCGCATTTCATCGCTCCCAAGAAATGACTTTCCTTCGTGGAGACAACACCTTAATAACAACGGCAACCTTGTCCTCAAAAGTGAAAAACAGCTACAGGTAGGACTGCAAAGAATTGTCCCACAAAACCCAGAGTAAGCCAAAGATAAGCAGTATGGATTATGCTTCACAATACCTATATTCATTTAAATGCTGCTACTGTGTTGGCAAGTTATGATGCTTTTGACTGTGAATTCAGCTCTTCCCCCGAGATCTGTTGTTAAGTGCACTCTCCAAATTTTTGGTTTAGCTCTACCGAGGAAATAAAATTAAGACAATGCAGCAGATGTGGCCAGCCTGGTATGCACCAGATGTTTGGTTTGTTTGTTTTTTAGCTTTAAATATTTAATAGACTATTGTATTTTTTAAATTTAATTTATTTAACATAATTATTACAAAATATAAGCAAAATATTGCAAATACATACATACATATATACATATTTCAGATAAGCACACATATATAAAAAGAACAAAAGAGAAAAAAGAAAGAAATGAAGAAAGAAAAAGAAAAAAAATAAAGAGAAGAAGAAAAGTTAGAAGAATTTCTTCCAAATTTATTCTACAAATCTCAATAATAAAATTTCGTTGATTGACTTCCATCGCTTACACTGCGCTTCCTATATAAATTTTAAGCAAGATTGTATCTGTTATTCTGTATTTTTCCCATACAATCTCACACGAATATTCTAATCAACAAGTTTCTAAATCTTCAGATGTTTTGGACTACAATTTCTATTGGGCCTGATGGGAATGGTCCAAAACATCTGAAGGGCACCCACTCCCTCCAAGAAAGATCATCGTAGGAAGGGAAAAACCAATCTTCTCCCCCTCCATCAGCAGACTGCAGCTGCAGGGAGATTCCCCTTCCCTTCCACAAAAAAGACCCTGCTGCAGCCACCATTAACCCTGGGATTGTGGAACCAAAGGGGAAAGGACTCTGGCCCCATTCATTGGCCAAATGAACAAGGGCCTCCACCTGCTATTCAAGGAAGGCCATCAGCACAGAAAGCCCTGCCTCCCACTGCACCTCAGCTGTTTCTCAGAACTGATGCCACTCTAACTTTTTCTTCCACTCCCCTTAGCTTGTATGTCATATTTTCTGTATGCCTGATGGCATGACCTCTCCCTCTTTCTCTGGCTGTGTGAACACTATACATTTAAGCACATTATTTCCCCGAAAGAAGCTTGGGAACTGTAGTGTGTCAAACTACAGTTCCCTGGCTTCTTTGGGTCAAGTTATGTGCTTTAAATGCATGGTATGTATGTAGCTACAGTCTCATCCCCATCTCCTTTTCTTGATTGCAGGACTTCTCTCCCCCTGCCCCTTAGGGGGAAAATAATTTTCTAACAAGCAGGATTAAAAAATAGTAAGCAAATAAATAAACATATCCTGAGTTTCCAGTCTGTTAAAAATACAAATAACAATGGCTTATCCAATTATGGGTAGTTTTAATTTTTTATTGCTTGTGGGTGAGCTAAGGCTTGCAAAGTAGCTATATAGCATTTTAAAGTGCTATATAATATAAAGTTTGATTAATGACTCCTGATGTTTGCAGGCATCCACCTCCCATTTTGAATGTTTAGCTCCAAGTCTGGGTTTAGCGTTAGTTGATGTCTAACCACCTCATGGAAACTGCTGGGCTCTGTGGAAGGATCAGGGCCAGCGGCAGGTCTCTTGGTTTGTGAGGAACAAGGCCAGAACCAGACTGAAACAAAATTGGCTTGGTCTGCTTTTCGGAAACCCGGTACGGCAGGAGCTAAGATGTGCAGACGTTACGGTTAAGCTGGCTTGTAGATTTGAGGAGGCTTGTGGGAGTGGGGAGGCCAGTTAGGGGAAGGGTTACAGCCCTGAGCCTGCTTCGTACACAAATAGATGCTGCCGCGGAGCACTGTCAGTCATGCCGCATTTATCTGAAGAATGGGAGAAGAGAAAAGGGAACAGAAGTCTTTGCCAGGAGCGAACAAAGTGGGCATGCCTCTTAAATAATTACCCCAGGACTGATTACCTTTCCAAGTAATTAAACATTATGAAAGGTTATTAACGTGCTGATAATAGACAGCTTTGAAAATTGCCAGCGCAGCGTGAGGGAGCAGCAGACAACCACATGGCTGGGAACAGGTTTCTGTAGCCTCGCGAAGGCCTCAGACTTCGCATTGTCAAGCAGCTCCTGCAGAAAAAGAGGTGGGGAGAAAGGAAATAAAAGGCCCGTTTCTGTTAAAGGAGCAAAAAGAGAGCACCGTGTGTGTGTGTGTGTGTGTGCTTTCAGTCCATGAAAGTGGCATAGCGGGGTTGAAAATTGCATGGAGACAGCAGGGGGAGAGGAGGGAGGTGTACACGTTCCATAAAACAGAAAGCCTCACCCACAGACACGGAGCGATCTAAATTATGCCTCTCTGAGCCAGCCTGGCCAATTTGTGCCTGGGGCGGGTTAACTCCAACACAGGGCCAGCCAAGCAGGTGTTCACCAGCTTTTTAATTCCAGAGGAAGGTGTGTTGGTGGTGGAGGTGGTGATGGAAGCTGCCTCCTGTCCTCTTCTCTCTTTTTTTAGGGTTTGTTCAGCTTCCCACAAGCTTCTGGGTATTATTTATTAATTAAAGATATATCCCACCCTTTCTCCCAAAAGAGCCCAGGATGGGAAAAGACAAGTGGTAAAACAATTACTAGAAGGAGGAGGAGAAATAAGAGGAGAAGGAGAAGGAGAAGGACAGATGTAGACTGGGAAAGATCTCAGCCTTAAAATCTTGTTGAAAGAAGGTCTTCAGTGGGTGCTGAAAAGACAACAGATATGGTGCCTGTCTTAATATTCAAGGAAAGGGGGTTCTAAGGAGGAAGTGCCACAACATTAAAGACCTGGTCCCTATGTTGTGTGAAACATACCTCCTGATAAGATGGTAACTCCAGGAGGCCCTCATCTGCACAGTGCTTTGACCAATTGGGTTTGTAGCAATCCTTCAGGCCTCTGGTCCCAAGCTGTATAGGGCAAAGCCAGCATCTGGAGCCTAGACTGGTAGCTAACTGGCAGCAGAGGATGAAGTGTGATGGTTGTCTATTTTGTTCCTTCGTTTCCAGGATGGACTGAAAGGTGGGTTGGTGGAAGAGTACTTCTCCTGTCACGTACCTCCGTTTTCCCCAGTAGCAACGCAGCGACTGAGCTGGCCTTGTCTTTGTAGAAGGTGAGATGTGGTGCGGGCCCATGTGGGCTTACCTTGTGGCATCAGTGGTGCTTGCGGTGGCTCTGAGCAGTACAGGGTAGGTGGATGTAGCCACCATTTTAATCTCTCACAGCGCTGCCATGACACAGCATTCCTCTGTGGCATTATGGGGTCTTAACATGGCAGCTAGATTGTTTTGGAAGTCCAAGCCCCTGCCAGAGTGCTGGAGCACTAGCTGGTACCCAAAGATACCAAGTGCTGACGCCATTCCGGGCAAAGTCCTGGCAAAGTCCTGAACTGTAACTTTCAAAGTTGAATAGAAGAGAGTTTTCAGGCAGGTGCAACTTGTCACGGAGGTGTGAAAGAAGTTAAAAATCCCCTCTCCTACACAACTATGTAAGGTTCAGGAGTCCTGCCTACATTTGTATCTGGCCATCTTCTCTAGTGCTTTTTGCCACTCCCTCACTTAAGAAGTGGAGAAATAACCTCAAACAAAAAAGAATATAATGGTGTGGTTACCACTGGTTCAACCCACTTTAAGTCAATGTGGGTCACTAACATACAGAATAAGAGAACAAGACAAACATACGTTTAAAGAAGATTGGAAAATGTTTATTGAATATATTGGGGGGGATTGTGTACACTTGAAAACATTGGTAGCATTAAGATAAATTCAACAGTGTAAATAAGTTTTGATGGATGTAATAATGGAATACTGAATTATTTAGTTTATGTAAGGATCTATGTTGTGCAAAATGAACCATGGAAAGAGAAGAAGGGATGTCATTGATATTTTAAGGTTGTTTAAATGAATATTCTAAAATGTAAAACAGAAAATTTAATAGAAATTATTAAATAATAATAAGTCAATGTGAGCCCACCAGTTTGAAAGCCCTTTTGCTTGTGGATGCGATAGCAGATTCCTCCTTGCAGGATGGGTAGAAGTCAGACAAAGAATCTTTGTGCTGTCACAGATTCAATTGGTGGGTTTTCCTTTCTAACTTTCTAAGAACTTAATACAGACATTTTGCTGTGATGGTTTCATACATCCAGTGCAGTAGACAGTTGGAGTTGGCACCTTGCATTTCCAGTTTACATGACATTTGCAAGATGAATGGTGAGATTCTAGGCAAATCTATAACCTGTGGGTTTGGCTAGTGTCTCGCCAGCGGCAGCATAAATCTGAAACACTTCGACCGCAGCCAGAATGATTGAGAGCACCTATGTAACTTGAGAACCAAATTGCAGAGCATGAGAACAAGTGCATATACCTGTGTATTACAAATCCAAGTAACTGTACAGGTGTAGGAATGGGACTGAAGGCATCTGAGGCACCTGAGGTCCAGCTTTTCTGATCTCCCCAGATTGCTCCATAGGGCCAGGTTTAGAAGCAGGAAAGCTGGGAGACTGCCTGGGTTTTAAGAGCTGGGATGCGCCAGGCACAGGCCAGCCATCCACTCAACACCTGGGGGGAAATGTACCAACTTCACTTGTAGAGTTGGCTCTATAGTGCCAATACAGGGATGTGGCCTTCCAGATATGGTTGGACTACAACTCCCTTAATGGCTGACCATTGGCCAGGCTGGCTGGGGCTGATGGGAATTGGAGTCCAACAACAACTGGAGCCATTGGTTCCCCAGCCTCATGCTAACTTTCCCTTTACATTCATGGGAAGCGGGTGCAGTCTTGGCTACTGCATGCCACCCAAGGAATCTATATCATGAGGCAATGAGTAAATATAAATAATACATAATAGCTACAGAAGAATTTTGGAGTGCAAAAGATGGAAATATTGAGCTACGATACCAAGAAACATGGCACTTCTGTCTAAAGCACAAGTGGAGTATGCTGATTTTAAGGATCCTTTTCATTTTGCTGCTACCTTACAACAGGCTTCGTTGTATTAAATCCTACAGTCTCCTCTCTCCAGGTGCCTTTGTAAATGGATTTCTCAGCTATTAATCAATATAATTTGCCAGAAGAGATAAGTTTTGTTTACTGGCAACAGTCCCCTAGGTCTATGTGTCAAATGTTCTCCTGTCAACTAGGAATCAGAAAAAAATGTTGTTGTTTTTTTTGTAAAAACAAAACAAAACAAAAGACAATAAACTCACCTTTGATGCCCAACTAAAAATTCTAAATTATTACAGAATGAATTTTCAAAAGTTGCAGGTGTAGGAAGTTGTCATAGAAGCTTGGAGCTGGAAGTTTATGGCTCCTGGAACTTTGTTTTGCCAGGTGTAAGCAGTGCTGTGGTTAGGTGATTTCAGAGACTAGATACTAAGGGAATGGGGGGGGGGGGGGCAGAGATGGGCTGTATAGATGCTAATGTGCATTACTTCCCCTTCTGCTAGGAGGAGTCCTGGACTTCTGTCCCAAGGTCCTGTTCTGATGGCACCTCTGGTTATAAGAGGTCTCTGGGTGCTTTCAGGCTGCAGGGTTGGTCCAGAGGCTGTGTCCAACCATTAGATGTAACTGAATACAGGAAAGGCTGCAACTTGAGTCAGGTTGTGCAAGTCTGCAAACCAGCTGAGCAGGGACCATGTTGTCCCTGTTTGTACAGTACCTAGCCTGCAACAGGGGCAAAACAAAATTAAGTAATAGGAGGAGGAATGGGTCAGCCAGAGGCAACACAGTTGGGATAGCACTGCCTGTAGCTGATCTAGTTACACTGTGCCACTTGGCTGGAAACTTTCTGCTCTGTTACCCAATGTCCTTGGCAGACGTTGCATTCACATTACCCACTTGCGGCCAGCGCCATCGGGACGTAAGTAGCTTGGGCGGAGGGTGTGAGAGCATCCCTAGGCAGTGTGAGAACAAATTTGCAGAAAATGTGGGAGCCTCCTTCAGCGAGGCATGGATTCTTTCTGATTTCCCAAAGGCAAGGCTGGTGCTCAAGGAGCCCAAAGTTCAGACTTTAGGATGGTGGACACGCCATGTGACTTCCCCCAAAGAATCCTGGGAACTGTAGCTTAAGGGTGATGGGAATTGTGGCTCTGTGGGGGTAAACTACAATTCCCAGGGTTCCTTGGGGGAAGCAAAAATGGTGTGTACGAAGCCCATGAAAAGACATCCTGTTAGCTCGATATCATGACTGCCTTGCCACGAGGTTTTACCTGCACTTGGTAAATTGTCATATGCATTCATCCAATCTTTCTTTTTCATTGGGGCAAAGTATTGAAAAAACAAACCACACACACACACACACACACACACACACACACACACACACACCATGCCTTGCTTTTAGAAGAGAAATACGAGAGCAAAAGCCAGGAATGATGAATTCAAAAATCATATAAATAGGACAATGAAGTGCAACCAGAATGTTTCTAACTAACTGCTGGTATTATCCATGGAGGTGGCAACGCCTGAGAAAGTAAGTGAGTGTGGACTAAGCTAAGGTAGTATTATCTGTGCCACCTTGCTTCTTGTGTGGGCTTTAAGATCTATGCAAATGAAGTGTAATTAGGCTTGCCTCTGGCCACTTTTGAACCTGTCCAGCTTTGTTTCTTGGAGATTATTGCACGTTTACTTCATCCTTGATTCTCATCAGAAAAAAAACAAATGTGTACGATCTGTTACTTTCAGCCCCAAATCTGGTTTTCCTTGATGCAGAATGTTTCTTTTCATTTGGGAAGAATGCACCAACTTCTGCCTAGAAAGGCTACTACAAATGTATAAAATGTGAAATGTAGCAGTTTTTGCATGACATGAGAGAAAGGATCAAGCAGCCCACATGTGCAGTCATGATCCAACCCATATAGTGTATCCATATAATACCCCTAGTGTGTGCAGCTAGCTGCTCAATAGTTGTAGCTGAAAATACATGCTTTGCTACATGTGCACACTGAAATGTTACTGGTCCGCCCAAGAGATTTTGGATGGTTCTGTTAAAAAAAGAAATAGTAATGTATGAAGTGAAGCAACCTTGATTAGGGATGCAACATGGCATCACAGTTTCTATTCCAACCCGTGTCCATCACAATCAGCACTGTTTCTGCTGCAGTTCAG